CCCCGGAAAGACACGGCTTTTAACTCCTCGCCGGGGGACCGGGCAGGGCGGGGGGATCTGGCTCAGCCCCCTTTGCCTTTCCCAGCTGGGGAAGGGGCAAACGGTGCGGAGCTGGAGGGAGGCAGCCTGCCAGAGCGCTGCCCTCTCCCCCGGCCAGCAGTGCCTGCTCGAGGGTCTGGCTGACCCCCTCGTGCCTCCTCCAAGGCCGTAGCCCCTTCCCCTGCCCCTGCCTTGCTTGGCTTTCCTCTCCTCCCCTGCGGGCAGCGTTTGCTGGCCGAGGATGCCTGAGCTGCTCCCGGTGCCCGCTGCCGAGGCAGGACGGCGGGGAAGCAGCGGGCACGGGGAGGGACGGCAGGGCACGAGGGATGGCAGGGGACAGGATGGCCCTACTGGTGGCCTTGCCCGGAGAGGCTCGGCCGGTTCCCTGGCGGTGCTGGCTGCAGCGGGCCCCGGCGCTGCCCAGCAGAGATGCGCAAGCCCCTGCAGAGCCAGCCCTACCCTGCGCCAGTTTCCCCCAGCTCCCACTCGCTTGGAGCCTGCGTTTTGCAAAAGAGGTTTTGGCAGTAGGGCGGAGAGCCAAGCCAGCCCTGTCTCGTCCTCATGGCCACCCCCAGGGCTTGCCCGCAGGCTGCGGTGAGCGGAGATGCTTCCAGCCGGAGCCAGAGGTTCGCCGCAGCTCCAGCTTCTTCCACACAGTCCCTCATGCCTGTCCCTGTCTCCCGTATCCTCAGCCTTAACCAAAGCTGCCATCTGGCCTGTTTTTTTGTTGATTTTTCTTTTATTTTTAGGACCCAAGAAACAGATACTGATCCATTTCCCAAGGCGAATGCATGCCCCATGTGCTGACTTCTCCCAGCCCTGCCCCGAGCAGTCGCGGGGTGCCAGCTCCCCGAAGCCAGAAGACAGGGAGATGGGGAAGCTCATCTCCCCCAGTCCTGCAGGGTCTTTCCAAGCAGATCCCACCTGGCAGCACAACGTGGCTGGGGCATTCTAAGACAGTCTGGAAACAGCAGTGGATGAGGGGTTTGGAGCTGGGACCCCAGTGCTGCTGGGCTGCCGGGGCATTTCCAGAGAGGGAAGGGCTGGGGAGGCAGGATGCCTTTGGGGTGACGGTCCCATCACCACTTCCCTGCTCTGAGCTTGATACTGTTTTGCAGAGAGCAGCTGCTGTCCTCGGCATCTCCCAAGTGATTTCAGAAGGATCCCACTGCACCCCAAAAAAAAAAAAAAAAACCAAACCAAATTGAAGGAGCGGTATTTTATAAGCATCTTGGCAAAAGATGACAATTCCTAACTGAGAGTTTCCCGGGTCTCGAAGCTCAAAGCAGTGTGGTGGCCTCTGAGACCAGAGAGATGCAGCCTCCCCTGCTCAGGGGCGCATCCCTGCAGGGCTCCCCGGGACCAGAGAAAGCCGAGGCACCCCGGCAGGGTCCTGCTTCCCCTGGGGAGGCTGCGGGCAGGGAAAGGGTCCACAGCGGTGGGCTGTCACTGCTGGGTAACCCTCCGGCCAGCAGCACTCGGCCAGGGGAAGGGCAGGCACACAGAACTTGGGTCTGGGTTTGTAAAGGGGGAAAAATGGGCGGGGGGGGGCATGGCTGGACTGCGAGTGCCACCCAGCCGGGGTTGCGGTGCCTGAGTGCTGGCGCTGAGGTCTCAGAGATGGATGTGGAGAGGATGCAGTGGGTGGGTTTGAGAGGCAGCTGGGAAGGGGGAGAGGGCAGGACACCCCACCCCAGCCCTTCCTTGGAAATAGGCCCTGGGAGGGAGCCAGGCTTTCTGGCGGGTGTTGTGGACCAGCCGTGTTCTTTATGTACGTATGTGTAAAACCATATGTAACTAGTCATTGGTTCTTTGTTTTGGGGTTTATTTTTTGTTCATTTTTTGGTTTAATTGTAAAGCCATCCCCTGTTTTCAAGGGGGGGCTGCAGGGGGAAGGCTGGGGAGAGAGGCATCCCGGTTTGTAACAGGCATCCGCCGCTTCCCCTCTTCTGTAATGAGTTTAAATGATTTTAAAAAAGAAAAAAAATTGAAATATCGGAGTTACCTATCTTTGCCCAAAGAATCCCAGTTGCACAAAGCGATATTCCGGTGTGTCGATGATTGTGTGTCGGTGTATATTATACAAAGAGGTACTTGTCACTCCCGTTTGTAAACTACATTTGACATTAATTAAACAAGTATAAATCTTCTTGGGCGCTTTCCGCCTTTCTGTGTTTCCCTTTGCAGGCGAGAGGCAGTGGAGGAGACACCCCCCCACATAACCCCACACCCACCTCGCCCACACCACAGCCCCTGGATGTGGGTAATGTCCCAAAGGGGAGCCCCGATCCTATTTGGGGTGCAGGGACAGATGCAGGGAGATGCTGGGGCAGGACTGGACCTAGGGTCCTGCCCAGCATCCCCCCCTGCAATGACGCATCTCTGCCCCACCATGGATGGGGTTCCCCAACTTGTGCCCCCCCATAGAGCCAGGAGGGCAGGGCAAAGGGCACACCTCAGGGGACACCCCCATAATGAAGTCTCATCGGCTGCATTAGTTGGGGGCAGGAGGCACCCAGCCCCAACAGATCTATACATCCTGCATTAGGGGCCACCAGCGCGGTATAGGGTTACCCCCGACAACAGGGACTGGGAAGCTGCCGGGGCAGGGGGGGTAGAGGTCAGGTTCCCCCCAGCGTGGGGCTGGCGCCGACGCTTTGGTTTACAAACATTTTGCAGACAGGTCGATGAGGTGTTTTCAAACCCCTCCCCATGGCTATGTCCCCTGGGGCTGGGGTGCTGGGGGGGGGTGCAGCAGAGATGTCAGGGACCTCTTTCCATCTGCAGTGGCAAAGATGGGAAAAGGGATGGATTTTGCCACTTTTTTGGCTGGTGGGGAGCAGGAGAGCATCTCAGCCACCCTCCTGTCCGGTTTTAGCCCAGAGGAGGCCTGAGGCCAGGGTGAAGGGCAGGAACCCTCCCTCCCTCCCCCTCCACCCAGCCCGCAGCAGGCTGCTAATATTTTATTTAAAATATCTTTAGGAAGCGGAGGGCCGTGATGTATCGGATGTATTGAGAAAATGCTAATGTGTAATAGCGTGTGTCAGGGGCCTCGTTCATCACCCCGCGCCGCCTTCTGGGGGATCCATATCTAATTAACAGTAATGAATGAGGGAGCCCACCTAATGACAGCCCGCCAGTTTGTTATGGAAATGAGGCAATCCCATTAGGCAAAACACTTAATTAAACAAACTGCTCGGAGTGGAGGCTGGAGCAGGATGGGCACAGGCCCTTTGGGGGACTGGGGGCCCTGGTACCCAGCCCCCCACATGCCAGGTGGGGGGCACAGAGGCTGCTGCAGCCCCACAGGGCCAGATGCCCCATGGTCAACCCCAGCAGCAGCAGGCTGAGGCCAAGAGGGACCCACCGGGGGGGTTGTCCCAGCCAGGGAGGGGGCAGTGGGGTGGTTTGCATCCCCCTCTTGTCTCTCCAGCACGTCGATGGGCGCAGAGGCGGCAGAGGCCAAACACAGATTTCCAATCAAACGTGTGTACTTGGCTCCTGCTCTATTGACACTGAAGCAAGAAGGGCTCAAGGTTAATTCCTTATCAATACCCTATTGTCAGCTCATTCATCACCCAGGGAGGGCAGGGGCTGCCCAAGCTCTCCCTGCCCCAGCCCCCATGGGTTTGGGAGGGTGACCGAAGGATGCCGTGCACACCTCTGCCCAGTCCAGTCCTTCCTGGGCAGCCCATCTCTGGTCGGTGGTGCTGGGGTGACCTTGCAGCCATGTGAGGATGCAGAGATGAAGGGCTGGGCCTCAAGTTCAAAGGGAAGGAGAATGGGTGGGATGCCGGGCAGGCAGAGCAAGCAGCTGCCCAGTGAGCCCCTGCGTCCCTTGCCTGTGCCCCAGGCTGGGTGCAGGAGCAGTACATAGGGTGTGCCGGTGGCGGGGGGGGGCTGTACATTGTGTACATTGCGGGGGGGATTTCAGAAAGCAGCTGTGGCCCCCATTTGTGCTATCCTGTTTCCCTGCCCCCCAGGTCCCCAGCCCTGTGTGCTGGGGAGTCCTGCCAGCCTTTCTGGAGAGTAGTGCTAAGCTCAGCTCCCTCCCCAGGGCTGGGGGGCTACAGGGAACCCAGGGGAGCTCCACAGTCCCTATTTGTGGGGTTTCCAGAAGTTGGGCCATGGTCTGTCTAAGCACAATATTGCACAGATTCGCTTAAAAAATAGATAGCCCTCTCTGGGTGATGGAGAGGGAAGTGGTGCTATCTGGCCTGCCAACGCGAGAAGGGCAGTGAAGCTATTCCTGCCGTTAGACTTTTGGTTTTAACATTCAGGTAAAGCTGAGAAACAGGATCTAGTACAACTTCCAGGGGCATGCAGCTCTAGGGCTAGATGCTGTTCTGTATTAACTCACGATCGCTACTTCTCATCATTGAAGTTTGTTCTTGCTGGTCTTTTTCCTTGCCTCGAGAGGGGACTTTTGCGGGAGATGCTCTCAGGCACGGAGAAGCGCTGGGCTGAGCCGCGCTGTTGGGGTCTTCTCCAAGATCTGCTCCGCTTGTCTCTGAAACTGGAAGTCTCTCCACGCAGGAAAAAGGGGACCTGCTGCCACCTCGTGGAGCGCTGCTCCCTCCCGGGCCGGAGCATCCCCTGCCCGGCACGGCCACCCTCTGCCAGCTCCATCCTCCACCACCTCCATGGGACGATGGAGACCAGCCTCACGCCTCCCCTCTTCTCTTCTCTAGGAAGCAGCACATGGGGTTGGGTTGCTGGGTTCCATCTCAAGCCATCCGCACTTTTCCATCAGTGGCAGAGCTTCACACGTACGCCTGCGACTTCCCAACATGTACAAAAAGACGGGGCCTCAGCCCATATACAATTTGCTGCCCCAACACAAAAAAGGCAACAGCAGACTTGTTTTAAAACACCTTTATTAGGTGCAGACACAGGTCAGTCTTCGCCCAGGGGCTTGGTTTGAATTACTCACACTGCAAGATGCTCCCCCCTGCTCCAAATCACGACCCCTGGCTGGGCTGGATCATGCCCCCACTCTGCCCAGGTCCCCGCTGCAGCCTCTCCCAGCGCTGCAGGGCACCCTGGCTACACAGGCACCCTCCCACTGCCTGTCAGCAGCAGCTAAACACCCTCCAGCCCACGACCACACGACCACCTTGACCACTAAGAAGCTGCCTTTTTTCTTTTTTTTAAAACCTTCCTGTAACATCACCACTGCCTGGGGAGAGAAGGCAGCACAGGGGAGCAAGCCAGCAGCCAGCTCCCTCACAGGAAACACTTACAAATGGCTATCGTTGCTGAGGAAAGGTTAATTTGTGCTCTTGCAAAATGAACCTAGCTGGGAAATGCGCAATGGCAGCAGCTGGCCCCTGGCCATCCTCCTCTCCCACCACTGCTGGTGTTTCGCCCACACTGCTCCGCCACCTGCGCACAAGGGCTGGACTGTAGGAAAACCAGCTCCCGGCTCCCCAGGCAGAGATCGCCGGTGCCACATCCCACTCCCTACCCACAAGGCAAGCCCAGGGACACTGCATTTTTCCTCCCAAAGAGCAGACCTGCAACACCCCTTCCATAGCTCATCCCAGAGATTTACTTGGATTTGCCACGATATCCCAACCTTTGGCTTTCAGTGTTCAGGCTGAAGCTCTTTAGGAACAGAGGCTGCACCAAACTGTGACAGTTTAGCAAGGATTAAGGGTTTGAGGCTGGGTTTTTTTAAATCCAGTCGTGCTTGGATCAGTTCTTGGCCGTGTGCCTTTGGGCTCCAAGTTATTAACCTTCTGCTTCAAATAACAACCACCAGAAATAGAGGGCAGAAAGAGGGGGGGGACAAGCACACATGCTGTATAGGAAAGAAGAGGGTAATATATCACACAATACATTTAAGACACTGTTCATAATCATCATTAAAATTTGCTGGGACACAGAAAACGAAACCCACCCAGAAGATCAGTGCTGATGAATTCCTCTGTAAATCACTGGCTTGCTCGAGATCTCCCCTGCTCTTAGAGAGGTGTGTACACAAATTAGCCCTGAATTTCAAGTCAGTTTTGCAGCAGTGGAAATGCCTGGAGCTGGTTCCTGCTTGCGTAGCACAGGGCACCACTGACTGCAGAGCTCCAGCAGACAGTACCCGCTCCCTGCCTGCTGCCCTGGAAAGGGAGGACGTGGACCAGAGCTGGACTGAGCTGGGGGAGCAGCAATCCCGTGGCAGGGAGATGAAGGTGGGGATGGAATGTGTAGCTGACATACTTGAGCCTCTTCCCCAAGGGAGCTTCACCATCTCATCGCACAGGGATAGAGGGTTTAGCTCCAGCTCCTGCCAGCCACACTCCACAACAGCCCAAGTCCTTAAACAGGAGAAGTTCAACACCCACAGCAATAAACAGGAACAGCAGATTCCCAGCCCAGCACAACTGTATTAATTCAGAGGCGTGTATTACGGAGTGTTTAACTGTTCTGTAAACACTGAACCCATAGAAACCAGCATGAGGGCAAGTGCTAGTTAAATAACCTTTATCACTTCTGCTCCCTAAGAGTTTTCACAGTGCCACGAACAGGCTGGATGCTCAGAAGATGCAGCCCAGCTCTCTGGGAAGGCAGGCAAACAGATCACAGCTCAGGAGTTATGGCACTGGCAGCACACACCAGGGGCCTGCTTTAAAAAGCTGGGAGATCTCTGATGGGCTTTCTGGGGATAGGGGACTATGCCTAGATTTTATAGGTCCAAACCCTAGGAACAAGAATTTCTTCATGAAAAGCAGCAGACTGAAGGCTATCCTACTGCAGGCTAGCCCTCACAGATCATCTTCACAGTGGAAGCCAAAACTGGAATCACACCTACAGAAGACTGGACTCTGAGCAACAGGGACTCACTCCCATGCCTGGAACCAGACTTCACTTTAAAAAAATTGAAGACAAACCAGGCCATGAGCCCCTTTTTAGTTACTCCTCACCCATCCTATACACCCCAGTCCACCCCCTTTAAAACCATGCCCAACATGGGGTTATTCTTTGCTTTAAATAAGCATTGCCACACTAGTCTGCTAAAAACAGTTGTGCTGGCCACTGACCACAACTCACCCTGTGCTTTCATTTCTGTGAGGTGTTAAGGTTCTTGTTTTAAACTTCCAAATTATTTTAGTGCTTCCCAAGAGACCTCTCTCTCTGCATTGTGATTCAGAACAGCAAGTCCTTTGTAATTGCGGATCACAACACCCCAAGGGTGGGCAAGACAAGCACAGCAGCCCACAGGCAGCAAACGTGTAAAAATCTTTGTGCTTTTTATGTTCCTACCTCTCGAGGGTAGTCCCTTGTTCATACAGGCCCATATCACAGCCCTCCAGAGCCTGTTCCTGGCAATCTTTGGGAATTTAAAATTGGCTAATCTTGTCCACCACACTAGTAATTAGCCTGCAATGCTGCGACATGGTGTAAACATATTAGCAAGCTCTCCTCTGTCTTTATCCCCACTTCTCCCTCAAATAAACAACAAAACCCAAACTCAAACATGGCTGAAGTGCAGTGCAATCAGCTACTTTTTTACTAGGTGGAAGGAATTAATTTATTGTATTATTAGCACATGCTGCACAGACAGCAAAGACTGATCATCTGAAAAGAACATTATGGGGAAAAAAACATCGAATCTCACGGTCATTTGTGGGCTGGAAGTGATTTAAGAAACACCCAGTATAAATCATAGCTCCAAGAGACAGCTTCATTTTTCTCTGCAGTTCCACCTTTCTATTTCTGAGGTCTTTTGGGTTACAGCTGTGCCAGTTTCCCTGCATTTCCAGATGCACAATATAGGCTGCTCAAAGACACACAATAATAAATGAGCAGTTCTCCAAGAAAGCAAAACTACTCAGGAGAACACACAAAAGACTGGAAGGAAGAGAAACAAAACACAAGACACATTCAAAAAGGTTAACTTAAATCTTTTGGTTGAAGAACACAAAAGCTATCAATCAATCACGAACATTTGAGCTCCCACCAAGGATCACAGCTTTGACTGCTCTACCTCAGCTATTTAATGGAACCAGATGAGAGTCTGGTCATACTGCCCTGCCCATACCTTTTTCCAGGTCTTACACTTGGTTTCTGAGCCTGATCTCCAGGTAAGGAGTATAGCAAGAGCTGGGATGCACTGAGAGAAAAGTCAAGTCCTGCAGAGCTGCTTCTGTTTGCTCAGTGCAAGATAAAAGAAATGGCAGAGAGGGGAAAAAAACAACAAAGACATGGAAGAGCTGTATTGTAAAATCAGTACAAGGCAACAGAACGTTGGACATCAGGGACAAGGAGACAACATGGAAAGCAGAGAACAATAGGAGACAGGAAGAAACAAATAACACTCCATGTAAAATTCTGATCTGTGACACCTTGGTAAAGCATATCAAATTCAACCATGCTAGGATTTCACCTTCAGTACTTTAAATTAATCCATATTTACTTTCTGCTATAATGTGACTGTCCCAAAGGCCAGCCTGGAGGCTTTCAGACTTGTAGATGGTGGGCAAAAAAAACCAAAAAACAAAAAAACAAAACTAAGAAGCCTCTACTTTTCTCCCTTCAAAGACACAAAGGCAAAGGGGGTAACATCTCCCATACAAGCTGAGCAAAGCAGAGGCAAACATTGGATGTCATTACACCACTAACAAGGTAAGCCCCTGACACAGTCAGACAGGAATGTTGTACAGAGGTTGCTGTAATAGGTGGGATATGCCCGCATATGGCTGACGTGAGCCGAATCCGAGAAGTCTACAGCTTTCACAGAGATACCGAGCTGCTGCCGGGCATCAGCCATGTGCTTAACTTCACTGGCCTTGATGATGGCATCGGCTTGGGAATAGAGGTAAAGCTCAGGCCACCGCGAGGGTGCTTTCAGCAGGGCATCATAATGGCTCTCGTGGATGAGGCGGGTCAATGGGTACAGCAAGATCCGCAGCACAACAGCCGTAGTAGCAAAAGCTAATAAAAGGAAATACTTGAGCAGCACATTCATGGATACCAAGACAGTCGCCAAGGCACGAAGGCCTCCTTTCAAGTTTCTTCTGCCAGGGGCACTATCAAAAATGGTGCCTGCTACTTTGAGGTTCTTAAACAGCTTGTGAGTGTGGAGCACCTCAATGATGTAACGGTACAGCATGACACCACCATTGCTAAAAACATGAAAAAGAACTGGTCTGTTTTCAACGGTGTAGTCAAACAGCAGCTCCAGGAGTTGCCTGGCTGGGGTCTGGAGGGACCTGATGCCAAAGGTCTCGGAGAAGAATATCATCCTCCATGGGGCCGTGTAGCGGATGACTGTGCACCCCTAAGAACAGAAAGAGACCCCGCACACATTTAGGCTGCTGTAAATTACATGGAGCAGGCAAGCATCAGTACAAAGAAGGTGAAAATTTGGGACAGGTTTACAACAGAAACCACAGGGCCGGAAGAAAGTCTTTAGTGTCAATAGCCAGGCACCAATATGAACAGGATTATATTAATCATAACAGTATACAGTATTATGAAAAGGTTTCTGCAGTAGCAGACGCCTGGATTTGATGATGTCTGAGAACCTTTCAAATCCTGTGCTAACTGGCACAGCCCCTGGGGACACTGCCACCCAAGCTTTTATGAGCATTAGTCTTCAACCAGGAAGACAAAACCATTTCCCCAATTCACAAACCTTCAGTATCAGCCATTTTGGTAAGAAGGGCCTGCTCTGGTACACATCTAGTTCATGACATTGAAACAAACATAAGAAGGAGGAGGAACTTCTTCCTGTCCTCGAGTAGTACTTGTTTGCAGCTGTCTCTAAGACTCACCCACAATCAGCATTGACATGATTTTCATAAACCTTTCTGAAATGCTCCAGCTGTGCAAATGAAGAGCACTGGTTCAGAGATTCAGAAGGCCTGAGCAATTGCCTTTACAGTCAAGGCCTTACATTTAGGTGTAGACTGAGAAACAGGATCTTGGAAGAGTTTCTAAATAGAGCAGATGGAACTACATTTATAAATGCTTTAGGTCTTTTCTATCACCTAAACTCACTGACATTACACACTGACAAACACAAGGCAAAACCACAAAGACAGCCCTCCCGCCCAGAGCTCTCTAAACAGTGAGCGAGGAAGAAGAGGATATCAAGTTCTTAAAGTTTTCTATACCGTCTTGCCATACTTGCAGCCCCTTTGTCATTAGGGAGCTAAGAAAACCTTTTCTCCCCTTTCCCATTCCTGTCACCTTTCTGATAGAGAAGTATTTTCAAAAAAGTTGGCATGCTGCCATGTAACGTGCTCTTCATCTGCTCAGCAGCATCTCTTAGTCACAACAGTCACTTAACAATTAATTCTCAGTAGAACAAGCCAATTCATGACTTGAACTGGATCACATGTTAACAATAGACTTATTAATGTACAAACTTTGCCACTTATAGCTGAAACAGAATTGGATAAATACAAGATCCTTGTATGCTGACAAAAAAAAAAAAGTCTAATGTTTCTCTGGGTCCCCATACTACAAGCAAGGGTCATTCCAGTAAGATACAGTATTAGAAAGGAAAATATAACTTAGGGAACTAGCAATTGGACAGACCTCTCCCGTTCAAACACAAGGAGTTCCTAGTGAGCAGGTATGACTACCATAGGATGCCTGTTTCACAGACAGGATAAAATTAATTTGGATTACAACATTTAGATGAATCATCTTCACAGGAAGGAAAAGCTAGAGGAGCGACAAATACTGACGTGCTCTGTTAGCCCTCAGCCTGGCGTCGCCAAGACTGTGCTGTGGCCTATTAGCAAGCAGTAAATGCATAATCTTTCCCCGCATGTTTAACTGTTTGGAAAGCTAACACAGTTCATGTCATTCCTGAATAATCTCACAATTTTAAAAGCCTTAAAATACTCCAGTTATTCACACAACAGCAGAAAGTTTCTCCAAGGAAGTATTTTTGTCTCAGCTGCACGCACAAAGATGACATCAGCAACTGTTAGATAACGCTGCCGGGGCTCTGAGAGACAAGGAGCTTTCAATGACAAGAAAACTTGCCACTCACTCACAATGACTCTTCACCCTGAGAGAAGCTTTAGAGCAATTTTATCAAGATGCAGAAAATAGGTGGTTTCTCAGAGAGCTGTATGGCAATGTCATGAAAATATAAATAAGCTACTCACTTTCTGACTGTAGATTGTGCTGTATTTGGCCAGGTATTTGTCCTGGCAGCCCGCCCATCCTAGAAGGATCACCACAGGCTGACCATCTGCATGCCCTCTCTCTGTACCGCTCTCTGAAACAAATCACAAGATTTAAAATAATTTTCCTCCAGTCCACCAGAATCGGAACTTTCAGCAACGTGCCTGGTGAATAAAGTTTAAGGGTAATGGTGAAGCAGGTATTAGTTTAATTTCTCAGTCAGTTACGAATACTGCCTCATCCCAGTTTCACTATGTGAGTGAGCTCAGTAAGACATCATAGTTTCAATCCCTGCAGCTTCCCAAAGCTCTCCACTGATGCAAAGCCAGCAGCGTGCAGATCGCTGGGGGGGGCGGGGCAGAGACCCCTTCCTCACTCCTCCTGGGAGCCGAGGAGGCGTCAGAGACTGCTGCCCACTTCCAGGGGGGAAAGGGAAGCATCCTGCCCTGCCCTCCAGGAACTACCAGACACGTTGTACGACACAAGTGTCTCCACGGCTCCCTCCCCCCATACCCTGACGGGTCCTCCAGGCCCGGTCCCCCACCCTCCACCCTCAGGG